TAATTGTGCCAACTGATCCACTAAAAATTTGTGCATAAAATCTCATTGTTGCACAAAAATACTTGTATTCTTCCATGAATGGTTCTTCATCATGTTCTCTGTGGTGGTTTTTCAAATATTCTATCTCCTCAATGCTGCTACTTATCTTTTAGAGAATGCAATTGCTTCCTGGAGAAACTAAGGAACTTCCTCATTATTTCTAATCTAAACTTTAATCCTCAAAACACTTGTCCTCTCCTCCTTTGCTCTAATCTCTGAGAGAGGTGGACCTTCTTGTAAAGGCTCACTCCTCTACTTGTACTGTGGCTTTAATTCTCTTATGTTCTTTGGTTGCATTTCTGTTGGATCATTTCCCTACTTCTTCACAGCTTCAGTCACTACCTTTCTATTGGCTCCTTCCCCTCCACCTGCACAATAATCAAGTCTTACCTCTACTTAAGTAAACCTTCATCTGACCCTATAATTATCTCCTATAGCTTTCCTCCTTTGTCTGATCAACTCCTACGAAGAGTCATATACACTTTCTGCTTCCTTGTCTTCATTACCCACTAATTTCTCAAATGCTCACAATTTGGCTTCTGATCCCATTATTTTTCTTAAGATGTTCTCTCAAAGATGACAAATTATCTTTTACCTACTAAATCCAATGGCCTTTTCTCATCCTTCTTGACCTTTCTGTAGCTTCTCACATAGATTATTAACCCATCCCTCAGAACAGATTCTCTCTCCTTGGTTTTCATGACATTCCTCTCTCCCACTTCTCTTCCTACTTGTCTGCTCTTTCTTAGTCTCTTTTGCTAGATCATTCTTTATCCTCTGCTCCTTGAGCATCTCTCAAATACCCCATTATCTCTTCTGTTTCACCTCTACATTCTCTCCCTTGGAGATTTCATCAGCTACCATACGTTCAATTCCCATCTCTATGTGGATGACACCCAAGTATAAATATCCAGCCTTAACCTCTTTCCATAATTCCAGTTCTTCGTTACCAACTGCCTTATGGACACCTTCACCTGGATGTCCTACAAATATCTCAAATTCAGTATGTCAAAATCAAGACTAATCATCTTTTCCCCTAAACTTGGCCCTCTTCTGAACTCTCCTATTTATTGTGAGAGCAATAGTATCCTTCCAGTCACCCAAGTTCACAATCCTAGAGTCATCCTTGATTTTTTCTTTTTCCTCATCTCCATAACTATTCAGTTTCTATTCCAATTGAAACTCTATGGTGCTGATGCTGATAAAGCAAGTTAGACAGTCTTTACTTTTGAGCAGCTAACATCCTAAAGGTGAAGTCAACACATAAAGTCAAGCCAGAGAAGGAACCTAGAGAAGGATGAATGCATCAGCATAATGTTGCAATGGATGGGAAGTGATATATAGAGGCCTGGTTCACCTATCAGAGCCCAGCATCCCAGGAACGGAGTATGAAGTTCCAATGAGAGGGGGATGAGGAAGATGAGGAGGACGACCAGAGTTCAGCCTCAGTATGGCTATTAATGGGGCAACTCAGGAGCAATCCTTAAAGGAAGATGCCCTCATACATGCATCAAGCTTTGAAATTTTAATGACAAAGATAGAATTTTGCAAGCTGCAAAAGAAAAAAGGAGAGAAACACTAAAAGATGAAATGACTTCTAACTTACCCTTTAGACTCTAGAGAATAGGATGTCTTTCAGAAAAAAAAAATTATACAAAGCCAAGAGCTATCACTATGCTTATAGTCCCTGGTCAAACAGATATTATAAAGGCAGAAGGAAAATATTTCAAGATCTAGAGGATTTTGTCAACAAAATTCCCCAGCTTCAAAGATTTCTATGAGAATAATTAGATGAATCAAATTTATACCTCTCATTATTACCCATATCAGATTGTCCATGAGTCCTGATTTGAAGAAAAGAAAGTGTATTTTAAAGGAGCCTTGACACAAAGACTATCTTACATTAGATCACCTGTCCTGATATTATGTTTAGAAAGTATGATCACCATGCTTAAAAGAGATAAATGGATTAGAAAATTAACAGAGGATAAGGTGGATGGTATGAAGTAAACTAGACCACATGTTATGAAATCTGAAATGTACAAACAGAATTTTATAATGTATTTTGGATGACTGAGATTTGAAAATCTGAGTTAGAAGGATGTAAGACAAGAGAAGGCTAAGTTAAAATGCTAGACTTCATATTACCTCTATAGAAGAATTGCTATAATTATAATTGATACAGTTCTCCAAATGATAAGATACTTCAGAACATCAAATATTGGAGCTAGGAGGGACATTAGAACATAGAATGACATTGGAAAGGTATTAGAACACAGAATATAAAATGTCAGAGAACATATCATCACAGAACATAGAACGCAGATATCCAAGTTGGGAGGGAACTCCAAGACTGTTTAACATCTTTTTATGGAGTAGGAAACAAAGCCGCAGAAGAAGTAAATGACTTGCTTGTTAACATAAACTAGTAATAGAAACAGGATTAGAACATAAGTAGTGGTTTTTGCTTTGCTAAATTCATCTTAATAATTTAAAACACTTATTGATGGCTTATTATATTCAAAAGACTGCATGAGGTGCAACTCTCATGGAAATGAATTTTAAAATATTAAAATCTCATTTTAATTCAATAGCCCTTTTTTCTTAAAGGTCCCTACTATCAAAAGATCTCTCGTTAGTATATGACTTCTCTCATCAAATCAAGAACCAACATATTTAATAGAGGAGAACCAGAGCTATTCTGCTAGGTAAGGGGCTAGGTAATGCTGCCACCCTCTCTCACCCTCCTCTCCTCAACCTAGTGAAACTTTAATATCCTTCAGAGCTTAACTCAAGCACCACCTCCCCTCCCCGATCCCTCTAGTAGGAAATAAAAGAAAGTTTGCATCTCAATGAAATCATAATAGATGAAAGGAATACTCAAATAAATGTAGAGTTACACCTTGTATTTGGCTAGGAAGTATAAATATAGAAAGCATGAAAATATCACCTTGTTAAATACACAGATTTACCACAATATTAATTAAAGTACTTGCGGGATATTTTATAGAACTGGGAGCACAATTAGAAAAATTCACCTGTTAAGAATAATGGGATAAAAATGCTGAAGAGTTTTTGCTCAAAAGGTAACAATGACAGACTCAGCAGACCACATGTCACCAGGTGACAATTATTCATACCTCCATAAAATCACAGACTGTTAGAGCCAGAAGCAATTTCAGAGATCACTACATAGTTCAATCTATCCACTTGACGGATGAGGAAATTATGCCTGCTACATGTAGGGTCAGAGAGATTGAGTCCCTGTCTAATCTGGAAACGTTTCTCCCTTGGAGGCCAAATTTTTGGTGATGAGCTCTCTGCATTTAGTGAGGATGGGTATTAGAGGGCACAGTCTATTGAAAGTCCTATACTCCACACCTTCCTAGCTTGATAAGATCGGCCAGAATCTGCACTCACTGGTACAGCCTCTGAGAACCCAGCGTCACCACTATGCTACAAGACATTTGAGGAGGATGTGAATGGAGCTGTAATACAATTATACTCTGGATTACTTAAGTCTGACTGAATATTTTTAAGGTAGGTACAGGAATTTTAATTTCATTGATATAAAGAACTCCCTAGCAATGCAAGTTGGCACCTTTTTGTGCAACTTATAGCCTTAAGACAGTTGCCCTGAGCACCGAGAGGCCAAGTGACTTACACAGGGTGACAAAGCCAGGATGCATAAAAGGCAGGATTTGAACCCAGGTCTTCCTAGTTCCAAAGCTGGCTCTCTCTCTCTCCATTATAGCATGATGCCTCTAATTAGTACCTCTGTACTGCTATAGCCTGGATTACAAAGGTTTAGTGAGCTAACCTAAGAATACAATCAGTCATTGAGATGTTGTTTCCAGGGGGTTCTGAGTTCCTAATAACTTCTAGAAATACAGGACTCCAATGTGGAAGGGAGCTAGAGGAAATCTAGTCCCATCTTTCACAGAGTAGCAACTACGTGTACAGTTTCTCTAACAAGTGGTCATATAGCTTCTGCTCCAGTGCCTATATGAGGGAATTCACTGGTACCCAAAGAAAACCCAGGCTGTTGTCGAATGCTCTCCTTTTAGGAAGTTTGTCTTCATACTGAGCCAATATAAGTCAGGAATTTGTGAAACAATTTGTATATAAATTGAAGATTTCCTTTATTGTACTTATTTTTAAAGATCATTAAGATACAGGGCACAAAACATTAATAAATTGTGTAACAATTTTCATTTGTCCTTATAAAATGAACTGTTAAGAAAAAAAGCTTTATTTCCTGTAATGCTTGAGACCATGTCTCCCGACACTTAATCCATGCAAGAGCCTGCAATGTGCTGACATCACCAGCTGAGGGCTTTAGATGGTAAGGAATCTTCTACAAGGTGGGAGATTTTCAAAAAGGAGAGTAAAAAAAGGGGAAGGGTTGGTTTCATGGCCAAGAGAGGCAAGCTGGAGCTCTGGTTGCCCAGGGACAGATGGCAACCATGCGGAGCAGTATAATCAAGGTGCTCCTGAGCCTCAGTGGCACATCTGGACAGGAACGATGATGATGGTGACTATTATGGTGACTGCTGACATTTACACATGTGGTATCTCATTTGAGCCTCATATCAACTCTATACAGTTGGTAGTACTGGCATTATTACTCCATTTTGCAGATGAGAAAATAGAGTTCAGAGAGGTCAGGTAACTCATTCATTCAGTTATCATTAGATGATAACTCCCCTGTGGCTTTGGACTATGCAGTCCTGAGTGCATGAGGACAAAGAACGTTGGGTTATTAGATTGCCTTATTTATTATGTCCCTTTATATCTTAATTATTTTTGTTATTAGATGTACACATCTCTAGGATGGTTCTGCAATAGAATCATACATTAGATAGGGACTCAGGCCATGAGATGAATAATTATTATCCCCAAATAGCAAACTGAACCTGGGAGTAGTTAAAGGATACGATATATTTAAAAACAATTCCTACCTGCTCCATACACCACTGAGTATACAACTCGCTTGGTCTGTTCCCTCTCCACGTATGTGACTTGTTCAAGAGGAATTCCTCTCCTAAGAAGAAAAAACCTTTTATCAGTTCCCCCCAAAAATGAAATAGCATTTTCCAGGTATGTTCAATAAAATAAAAAAAAATCCTGCTGTCCAGTACTGAATGTAGTACCTGCATTTTTAAAAATCAGCCTAGAAATCTACACTCATAACTTCATACGGGAAAGTTCCCAGTTGACCTACAGGAGTATGGAGGATTCAAAAGGTGAAGGTAGAAATAGTTCATGGTACCCCATTTTTTCAAAGTTAGTGTAAGAAACAAGCCATGAGTATGTGCTATCTAGCTCTCAGACTTTGGGAAAGCTTTGATGTTGTGAACGTGTACTGAGGCAGGCTTTTCTCTGTCCCATCCAAAGGGATTTGGATCTGCCTTTTATATCCCCTAGATCACATGCTTTGATAGAAAGACTCCTTGTCTAGCAGCATAAACTCACAATTAGGGATGAGCTCAAAGTATGAGATAAAATAAGAATCAACCTAACCTCTCAACTAGCATTTGGACCAACTGATTTATCAGACATGAAAGTTTGAAAAATACAGTCCACATAGGCCTGGGTGTAATGTAAAATCCATAAATATGCTGCCTCTTGTCTGATACTACATATAGAATCTAGAGCTAGAAAAGATGGCAGACGATAAATTGGGCCCCAGAGAGGTGAAGGTAAGTGCCCAAGAACTGACAGGGAGTAGAGGGCAAGATTAGGACTCAAGTCCTCTGACTCCAAATTCAGTGCTCTTTTTACTACTCCACACTAGTATAGGCTCGGCCTACTTCCACCTTAGGAGATCCATCAGCAAATACATTGTGAGGCTTTATCACAGGCAAAATATTGTTAAGGTACTGTAGGAGAAAAAAAACCCGAAAACCACCAACAACAAAATAAAGTACTGTAGGAGAAACATGGCTAGTAAGAAGCAGAGTGGGGATTCGAATCCAAGTCTTCTGACTGAGCCCAGTGTTTTTTCTAGTATACCACATGGTCCCTACCGATAAGGGAGCAGAACCTGCCAAATCACTGGCTCTACCCTCTACCTTTCTTCACTTTTACCCAACATCTGAAATAACACCCGCTAACGATACTTGAAAGCAGTGTTTATACAAAGAGGTCTTTCCTATATGCCCACTCTGTAGCCATTACAGAATGCCTGCAGATAAGCTTTTGCTCCAAGTAACTTTAATACTCATTTCCTCTCAAATACAACAATCATCTCCTTCTGTCCCCTCCTTACTGGCTAATAAAACTCAATTTCCCTTTTGGTCTTTTCCTTTGGCAAGGGCCTCCTCAGTCTAGCTCCTATTTACCTTGCCAACTTTACTCTCTTATGTGGAGTTTCTGTTTTGTCAGGAGCCTGCCTACTTGGAAATCCCTTGGCAAGATCTTAATTACAATCGATATCAAGTTATCCTCCAGTTACTTGGAACTGATAGGGGAGGGGTAAGGGGAAGAATAGCATATTAACTCACTTCTCTAATCAGAACTATGTACTCTCATCTTATAGATGAGGGGATTAAGGCTCAGAGGAATTAGGTGAATTTTCCAAAATCATACAACTAATAAGTGGCAGAGTTGAGACTCAAACCCAGGTTTTAAGTCAAACGCTCTTTTCATTACATCAAGTTACCTTAACTGGCCTAGTCACTATTCCCTTAACAGAGTGTATACATGACTGCCTCAATGCCTTCTGGTATTTTCCCTCCAAAACTGTATAAGTCCTTCCAGTCTTTCCTGGCTCAGTTGAAATTCCACCATCCCCATAAAGTCTTTTCTTTTCATTTTGACTTCTTTGAACAGCTTCAACTCTGCTGTCATCTGACACTTCGCATAAATGATTTTGCAGTACTGTTATTTTTTGTTGTGATTGTTGAATGAATGAAAGAAAAAAAAGCATTTAAGGGTTTATCATGTGTCAGGCATTGTGCTAAGATCTGAGGATACAAGTACACCCAAGTGAGACAGTTTCTGTCCTTAAGGAGGTTACATTCTAAAAGAGGAAGATGTCATATATAGTGGAGCAAGAGTTCAAAAGGAGGCATGGCAAATGTGGTGGCACAGCTTAGAGATGGCCATAAAATGGTATGACAGGTCCAGGGCCATGTAAGATAAGGCAAAGGATTACCAATCAGAGCCCAGAGTCCTAGGGGTAGGAATTTGAGTTCTGGTGGGAGAGGCTGAAGAGAAGGCCAAAGTGTAGACACCAAGCTTGGAGATGGCTAGGAAGTGGCATGGTGTCCCTGGTACCCATGATTTTATTCATATGTCCTATCTTCCTTTTTCTAAGTGCATCAAGACAAGAGTTACCTCTTATGTATCTTTGTTGACCCACACAGCCTATCACAGGGCCCTGCACACAAATGCAGGGCATTTTATAAACTGCCATAGACAAGACAACAACAATGACCACTCTTAGATCTATAACACTTTAAGGTTTAACAACTCTGTGAAGTAGGTAGTACAAGTATCAATTGTCCCCACTTTAAGGATGAAGTAACTTCTGAGGTTAAGTGACTTGCCCAGGATCACAAATAGCTGGAATTTGAATCAAGCCTCTCTCCTGACCCCAAATCTAGAGCTCTTTCCACTTTTTGGGGATGACAGTAACGGGCTGACCATGAGCCTATGGCAGAGCTTTGCCACCTCCAACAACTACCTAGTGACCAAGGGAAGGCATTTTCCTGATTTAACAAATATCCTCCCCACAGCTTTCTGCTCCACTTTTGAAGAGAGCTGACTCATGGTATTCTCTAAATGGCAGCAGATGGCATAAATAAAGCTCTCTCTTTTCAGATAATGATCTTGAATTAGCCAGAGCAGAATACCCAAGAGAAAGTAAATGGTCTAGAAAGTGTAGTGATGAATTTAGACTGTGTACAACAACAGGTAAACTTTGGGCCATGGAATGAACTGTTTTGTAATGGCAGGGGTGGAGAGGAGGACATCTAGAGCTATAACCCCAGGGGCTCTTTGTCTTGGTGGGGAAGGTAAGGGGTGGGCAGATCATGATCTTGTCAAAATGTTTCCTGCTGATGAGATAGGAAAAAACTGTCAATAGCTGGGGATTTCTTCAATGGTTCCTTTCTTGCTTCTGGTCATCTCATTTGATCTAAGTACCCTTGGAAGTTAACCATTAAGGTTTCAGGGCCCAGATTCAGAGACCCCTTAGTGATTATCTCAGGCCTACCCAAGGTCACTAGAAGTTGAGACATGGCCCTGGGACAGAGTAGAAACAGCACTGAGTCAGATTTCTTGGGTGTGAGTTCCAGCTCTGACATTTACCAGCCATATGATCTTAAACAAGTCACTTCCATGAGGCTTCAATTTTTTCATCTGGAAAATGGGGCTAATTGTACCGATTCTAGCTCTTTTACTTGATTGAGGGACAAGTGCTTCATAAACTATAAACATCTATAGACATGTGAGATAAGATGTGAGAGCCTCAGTTTCTTCACATCGGAGGGTGTTAATAATAATGGCACTACCCATCATCTTTCAAGGGTTGTGAGGAAAATGCTTACTCAACTTCAAAGCAATGGAGACACACAAGTGAAGATGAGGAGGAGAAAGAAGAAGAGTAAGAGGATGATGATGACTTCATAGGCATAATAGTCACTGCCCTGAGTAGAAGCCAAAGATACCCATGGCTGGGGTTGCTAACCCAGGTTGACTCACAGTGCTGGTGGCCTGAGCTGGTTCTTGCTTGGTTTTTGAATACGATTTTGGCACAGTGGCATTCTCAAAGGGAAAATCCCAGTTAGATCCAGTTCAGTTTCCTCTTATGTATAATGAAGGAGTAGAACTACATGACCTTTAAGGTACCTTCTAGCTCCAAATCTTTACTTCAATGACCCACTGTACTCTACACATAAGCTTACATTCCCGTTTTTCTTGAGTTAGAGCCATAGGAACCCCTCCCTCTGCCCCTTGGTGCTGAACAGATGTAATGGAAATAGATTTAGTGGATCTGGGATCAGTAATTACGATCTGATTCTGACATGTAGGAGCTGTGTGACCGTGCCCAAGTTACTTCTCTCTGCACCTCAATTTCCTCATATGTAAAATGGGGACACTAAACCTTCTGCTACCTACTTCAAAGAATGGTGTGAAGAAATTACTTTGCAAATTTTAAAGTCCTAGGACAGTAAGTTATGGCTGTTGTTGTAATTATTGTTATTATTCCTTGCTCTGTTCTGTTGGTCTAGATAACAGGAAATGAAACTTGGTATGAATGCTTTTGTTCGAATAACAGTAGCACTGTATAGTTGGAAGAGATATTTCTAGCTGAAGAAGGAGGAACCCCAGGAACATTCCCAGAGGTATAATTTTAAATTTGCTGCCTCCAAGGCACTAACCAAAATAGGCAGATGGGCCCACTTGTCTTTTGTGGCAGTCAAAAACAAAGACATCTCCTGCTTCTCTAAAATGCCAGGATCTCTCTGTCCTTAAATATCTCATAGCATTTTCCCTAGACACCTTCTTTGCACACTTATCACACTTTCTCTTTATCACAATTAGTTGTGTCCTTATCTTTTCCCTTCCTTTTAAATTTAAGCTCCTTGAGAATACGGATTGTGTTGCTTTTCACCTTTGTTTCTCTAGTTCTAACACAAGGTTTAGGAACCCTCATTACATTCACTACTTTCTCAGAGTCGCATGTGAAAATAACCTCCAGCAGGCTAAGGCGCTGGTCTTCAAAAATAAGTGTGCACCTGTTACAAGCTCTGAGTGCTTGGCCAACGTGGATGTTTCATATGATGCTACACAAAGAACTGTGGGGTTTTGTGGAGCCTCAGGGGCTCTGATCATTCAGTCTATCTCCTTTGTAAGTGAGCCGAATAAGTGAGTTGGAGGAGAGTTGCCATCTAAGTGTTACGCAGCTGCTACTGCGATTTCCTTATCAGTCTTTTAGAACCTTTCTAAGACACCTGGATCTATACGCCTTGCAGGAGCTGTCTGGGTGGTAGTTATGGGTATCCTATTGCAGAGTTTCAGGCAGCCTGGATATAC